AAAAGAATGTTATTTAAAAAAGTAAACAACGTTGTTCAAAATCGAAAAATCAGTGCTCGATTGACTTTAACAACTATGTATTAAAAGACAAAAATATTTAATTAAACAGAGTTGTTTAAAAAGTCCCGGGGGCGTCGTTGATATTTTCTCAATTTCTTAGAAAAAAATTAAACAAGTTGTTTAAAATTTTAAACAACACCGAGTTAACCGGTGAATCGCTCAACGTTGTTTAAAAATTAAACAAATTAAGGTTGTTTACATTTTGAACACTTAGTTGTTTAAAAATTAGGAAACCTTTTTAACAACAGTTGTTTAGTAATAAAATTGCACAACTCGGTTGTTTAAAGCAAGTTGTTTAAATTTTAAACAATAATGTTTAAATTACTAAGCAACTGTTGTTTATTCAGTATTACTACACAACTGGGTTGTTTAAAAGGAGTTGCTTAAATTTTAAACAGAACTGTTTAATGGTTATTATCTGGTTGTTTGAATTTGTGAAATGACCTACTGGAACCACTCCTGCAATAATCACAACGATGTATACACTGTAACATGCAGAGCTTGTTGCCAATTTACTTCAACATTTGTTCATCATATTCATGGCAGTGACAGACAACATTATTATTTGTCTCTATAACTTCACCTAAACCCCATCGGCGAAGCCGAGAAGAACCAATTAGTCGTCGCCTTGCCCTTGTTCCGCCATTTTCGTATGCACTTGCACTGCACGCTAGCACTGCATGCTTGCATGCATGTATTATGTACGTACTTTGTGCATATCGCATGTGTGTGCGCAAATTGCAATCGCGTATTGAGAAAATATCAACGACGCCCCGGGACTTTTTAAACAACTCTGTTTAATTAAATATTTTTGTCTTTTAATACATAGTTGTTTAAGTTAATCGAGCACTGATTTTTCGATTTTGAACAACGTTGTTTACTTTTTTAAACAACATTCTTTTAAACAGTGATATTTTAAACATCGTTCTAACAGTGTAGGCAATTTTTTATGATTAGTTGGTAATCTTTGAAATATATTGAGATTGATATACAGTCATAATTGATAAAGCGGCCCGATGGACATTAAAAATTCTTACCATTTATGGATTTTTGAAATAAATTTTAAGTACTATACAACTAGAGTTGGGGTGTCGACCATGCACTTGTTGCTCACTGCCCCCGTGATTAACCCTAAAAGGCCGTGCTATTTGAGGTCTTAATACGGCCGGGGGGGGGGGGGGGGGGGGAGGCATTATGGCTCCCCTAAGATCTCGGCCTAGGAAGGTATTGTGAAAATTAGCATGGTGATAGATTGAAGTATATTGAATAAGATGGTAATTTTTATTTCATATTTATTTATTTATGACATGCGTTGATATTTTGTCACCTAACACCCGGACCATAGGTCCGCTCATAACAAATTTGGTTTCAAAATGTGCGGGAGACATGAGGAAAAATATACATGAAATTTCAGCGCCAAAGGTTCAGGGATTTAGATACAGCGGCAAAAATTCGGTGGGGTGGGGGGGGGGGGGGGCATTATGGCCTCCGGCCTTAAAGGATGATGTCATTCCCCCCCCCTCAGAGTTCATGATTTGTGGCACCCCCCCCCCCCTCCACAAGCTGCCAACTGACGAATACCTATTAAACTACGTGGTTTAATGAGATCGAGCGGTCATACGAAGTGTTCGATCTAATGGCCATAGTAATTGAAAATCACCGCTCAAATATCACTTAAATCAACAAGCAGGCGAGCACTGAATTAGTTATTCAATTACTGTTTCTTTGGTTCATGGTCATCGTATACTTTTTGTTTATTAACCATTTGTTGTATACGTAGAAATGATACCTTCAACGGAAAAAAGGGAATATTCTTATTTAATGACCTGCTTTTTCTTCCACAAAGCGAGGGCCGTCTGCTCAGTAAAGCACCATAGGTCACAAAATTGGTACCAAAAAAAGACATAAGGGAACAAACTCATGAAACTGAATTTCAGCGCCAAAGGTTCAGGGGTTTAGATGCAGCGGCAAAAACTCGACGGGGGGAGGGGGCATTATGGGCCCTGGCCTTAATAGGGTTAAGGGATGATGTCATTTTTTCCCTCAGTGTTCAATATTTGTGGCACCCCCCCCCCCCTCTCTCTCTCTCCCCAAGCTGCCAACTGACGAATACCTATTAAACTACGTGGTTTAATGAGATCGAGCGGTCATACGATGTGTTCGATCTAATGGCCATAGTAATTGAAAATCACCGCTCAAATATCACTTAAATCAACAAGCAGGCGAGCACTGAATTAGTTATTCAATTACTGTTTCTTTGGTTCATGGCCATCGTATACTTTTTTGTTTACTAACCATTTGTTGTATACGTAGAAATGATACCTTCAACGGAAAATAGGGATATTCTTTAATGTGTGAATGGCCCGCTTTTTCTTCCACAAAGAAACGGCCGTCTGCTCAGTAAAGCACCACTCTTGGTTTTCTCATAGTTTCTCTCCCCCACCCTCTCTCTCTCTCTTTCTCTCTTACTCAGTCAAACACACACGTACAAACACACGTATACACACCCTCTTCCTCTCTTTCTCTCTCTCTTTTCATCACTCTCTCTCTCTCCCTTTCTCTGACACTCACTCACTCAAACATACACACCCACACACCCACACTCTCTCTTTCTTCAACTCACTCACTCAGATACACTCTCTCTCCCTTTCTCACACAGATACTTTCTCTCTCCCGCACAAACACACACACACACACACACACGCTCTCCCTCTTAATCTCCCTCTCTCCCTCCTTCCGCCCCTCCCTCTTGTGAGAGCATGTTTCTTACAACCGGGATCTAGCTCAAAACAGTTGAATAGACTCTCAGAAGAGTTCTGCCATCGTTATTTTTTAGTATAGATGCTACTTTAAATTCGAACGATTTCCTTTATAAAAGAATCGATCCCTATCCACATCTAACCAGGTCCTTTATCTCTTTTTATCCCAATCAAGTTTTGCGTTCATTACGACTGGTCAAAGTCTAGCGATCGTGCAAGCATTATCTCTCTCTCTCTCACTCACTCACATACACTCTCTATCTTTCTCTCCCACTCACACGCACACACAAACACACGCACGCAGACACACGCACGCTCTCTGTCTTAATCTCCCCTTTCACTCCCTCCCTCAATTCCACGTTGTACAATATACAACCCCACCCCCCCCCCCCCCTATTCAGAATATTTTGTTGCTCCCATGCATATCAAATGGCCTTCCCTAGTGCGTCCCAGAAAAAACGAAACCGAGAATTATCGACGTTTTTATCATAACTTAGTCACATTTATAATTAGTAAATGACACATATTTGGAAGGCTTAGATCCTCCTCTTTGATTTGATGCAACTCACCTGATGCATATTTCACGCATGATTGATTTAAATGAATTTGGAGAGAGGTAACCAAAAATTCATTTTACGGACGATATCTGATTTTCAAAGGGAAAAATCACATTTCTAGACAGTTGAGTTTCTGCCATTTCATATGACACCTCAATCACGAAAAATGAGCCAGGAATAACAAAGTTCTGTATGTTTAAAGTAGTGATTGCATTTCCATAATTTTATCAAACGAATTTGTTTTCACTGGCTGCCTGCCGTAGCAAGAAACAGAATTGTCAAAAGACTTAACTCCGTTTCGTTGACAATCAGCCATGCATGAAGTCTTTCGTCTACGGCCGATTGTCAACGAAACGGAGTTAAGTCTTTTCTTAATTCCGTGTGTTGCTAGGCAGGCAGCCAGTGAAAATGAATTCGTTTGATAAACTTATGGATATGCAAGCACTACTTTAAACATACAGAACTTTGTTATTCCTAGCTCATGTTTCGTGATTGAGGTGTCATATGAAAGGGCAGAAACTCAACTTTCTGGAAAAGTGATTTTCTCTTTGGAATTCAGATACCGTCCGCCAAATGACTTTTTGGTTTCCTCTCTTCAAATTCATCTTAATCACTCATGCGTGAAAGTATATGCATTATATGAGTTCCATCAGATGAAAGAGGAGGATCTCAGCTTTCCAAATATGTGTAATTTATCAATTATAATTGTGATTAAGTAATGATCAAACATCGATAATTCTCGGTTTCGTTTTTTCTGGGACGCACTGTATAGTTGTAATTCACAACAAAATCGTAACGTCTCTTAGCAACTGTCGAGGGCCATTATCCTTTATACCCCTCATTATTGATTTAGAATGCATAATAACGCCCTTTTTAATGATTAATTTATGTTCAACTTCTTTTTCAAAAACACACCCAATAATAGTGATGAGAGTGAATTCGCGAAAAACAGATGGAAGTCTGGGATATTGAGTCATGTTGACGTAAAAGCGGTCTATACAGTAGTTGCCCATATAATTCAAATAATGTTTTTTATCTCTTTTCATGATCGTGACAACCGTATACTTAGATTAAGTTTATATTTTCTCATATTCTGCACATTCTGTACTTCATGTGGAGCACTCCAGCTAATCGCCGTTTTACGGGCACGCAAATGCACAATCCAAACACAAATTCCTTCGCATCCTAAACGGGTACCAATTTAGAACCTGGGTGGAGAGAAGCAATGCAAATAAAATACCTTGCTCAATGACATAAGAGCCGTGCAGGAGCTCGAACCAACACCATTTGCATTTCTAGTCAAGTGAATTAAACCACTCGACTGCGACGCCTCTACGTAATAGCACGTTATCCGAACATAATCTATTAAGGTCAGAGCCATCTATACACAGAGTTTGGCCAACTCGATTCGAGTTGGACACAATATGGGCAACTATACTGAATATGCGCCATGTTGTGACCCAGTGAAACCAATTTGGCCAAGCTATATATATAGTTGGCTCTGATTTAGGTAATATGAAACTGCCCTCAACTTGGTTTTTTTCTCAAGTCCTTGCGATTTTGTCAGAAGTACAAATTAACAATAATCATATTTTCACAATTTTCATATTTTTTCTCTCTATCTTGATTACTGTAGCGGATATTTTAACCTCTCTGGTGGTAATTTTCCACGTGACCGAATTCTACCATTCAACATGGCCGATACTGTGGGGGACCAACATCCAGTGCCAGATCCATCGCTACCTACGGTTCGTCAGCTTCAATAGCACCGTCTTTTCCATGATGGCTATAGCTATTGACAGGTACGTCAACAACAACAAAAACAGACAAACAAAACCACATCACCTCTCCCCACTCCCCATCCACCTCGAAATGATTTTTCCGATAGCTACTGCATTATAATGATGAATGATAATATAGATATATCGACTGCTATGAGAGGCCTGGCTGTTGTATAGGCTCAAGGAGACGTTGCCGGCGCGCCCAGGGGACATGGGAGGATGCAACGTCCCCGAGAGCCGACAGCCAGGCCTCGAATATGAAAGCAGTCGATATGGAATTGACACAAAAAGTCTACCAAGAATTCTTACATTATCCTTTTCTTGAGTAAAGATTGGTTAAAACATCACGGATGTCTGAGAAAATGTCTGTTTATCTTTGCCGGAAAAGTGACTGAAATTGTTGATCATTTGGGAATCGCAGACAAAAAGCACAGTTTGGTATCCGCGCTCGCTCAAACTAACTTTTAACACGTAAACCAATGGGGATCGCAGCAAAATTTTACTATTTTCTCGGTTCCTGGAATCTTGCGGGAACCTCATTTGCATTGTTCGTTTCTTTACGGGAATGGCTAAAATCACGATTCCAATTTCGACCAATCAGATGGCTAGATTTCTAAAGAGAGGTATATAATGACAATTATAATATTCCAGCACTATAATAATGCAGCCTACATTCCTCGATTATAACTGTGTATAATGTTTATGCTTCTTGTTCTCCTTTTAAGGTTTTTCGCAGTTCGTATCCCAGTTCTCTACAAGGGCAAGTTTACAGTCAGTCGAACCAAGTTCGTTCTCCTCTTCGTCTGGTTGACATCGTTCACCGCTGCTCTACCTGTCGCATTCATGTTTGAGGTCAGTCACGTATTCGACGAAGTTCTTAAGATATTGTCGATAAAGATACAAAATTAAAGAATTTTTCATTAAATTAATGAAAAATATTTTAATTTTGTATCTAAAACCATCGTCGGCGATATAGAGTTGTGCGTACTGTCTCTCTCCGTCTCCAATATTGTGTACAAGATGGAGCTTCTTGGAAAGAAGCTCATGAATACTTATGGTGAATGATTCCAAATCTAGTAGAGTCAAAGAAATTCTCAATGAACTATACAATCGTCAAATAGATCTGTGAAAATTAATGTTGATGACGAACCATGAACGACATTAAGAAGTAAAGGCCTATTTAAAAACATAGTAGGATACATATGGTGAATGATTCCAAATCTAGTAGAGTCAAAGAAATTCTCAATGAATTATACAATCGTCAAATAGATCTGTGAAAATTAATGTTGATGACGAACCATGAACGACATTAAGAAGTAAAGGCCTATTTAAAAACATAGTAGGATACATTCTTATGAATCATCTCATAAACTGGCTATCTTAGATTCGGCTAGAGGCTATCCAATAAAAACAAAATATAAAAAACATGGGAAATATATACTAAATAGTTCTGCTGAATTCATTTCGTGATCCACCAGGAGATGGCGCTATGGCCTTCTCTTACACATCGATGACTGACTTTAAACCTTCCTCTACTGTTATTTTGATTATACACTGATACATGCAAGACTTTTTTTTCCCCCTTTTTTTTCCCTTTATGTTCATTGATTAATGTAACTTATGATATGTCTTGTATCAAAGAACTTGTTTTATATTGCTTATCTTGATAATTTCTTGTTATGTGAATTTCTTGCTATGTGAAATTATGAGGAAGGAAATAAAATATCATTTAAAACAAAAAAATCTACACTTTAAACCTTCCTCTACGGTTATTTTGATTATACACTGTTACATGCAAGAATTTTTTCCCCCTTTTTTTTCCATGTTCATTGATTGATGTAACTCATGAAATGTCTTGTATCAAAGATCTTGTTTTATATTGCTTAATTTGATAATTTCTTGTTATGTGAAATTATGAGGAAGGAAATAAAATATCATTTAAAACAAAAAAAAATGACTGATCTCTGGTACAGTTCATTTGGTGTATTCTTAAGCGTCTCTTAAAAGCGTGAAACTACTAATACTACTATTAGTAGTGCCAAACGTTTTCTGTCAATACTTTGACTGTCTTTTAGTGATTATTTGTTATAAATTTGTTGTTCTCATTATTCATGTTTCAGAGTATTTACAGCGGAGAAGGACAGGCGATCTCTTACCCGGGCAAGTTGCCCTGGGCTTGCAAGGCCATCGTCCCCTTCGGACCGTGGTGGAAAGACTTCAAACCCGTGTATCTCAACATCCTTCTCTTCTACATACCCGTCATCATCACCGCCATCATCTACGTCCGCATCGTCGTCCACGTCAAACGAAGTAACCAGTACTTGCGAAGTGAGCTCCTGAACGGCGGCCCCGTGCCGAAGCGGTACCGCAACTCGCACTGGAAGATATGCAAGAGTCTTCTCTATGTCTTCGTAGGTTTCATCATCTGTTTCGCACCCTTTGCCACCTATCATATCGTTCAGCAGTACTTCTCGACAGCTCTGCACCCCGAACTCAAGAACCTCTCCCTTCTCTTGCCTTACGTTAACTCATGCTTCAATCCAGTCATCTACTCCTTCACGAACGATACATTTTGGAAAGCCGCCAAGCAGATTGTTTGCATGTCGACGTCGTCGTCGAGAGACAGTCCGAGAGCGTCGTTGCCCTCTACCGACATGGACGGCGGTCACCCACCGAGTTTCGCTGCTATATCAGGCAATCAAAAGAGGAAGCGTGTGGATGGTGAGCGAGCAATGGGAATAGCGTTCTCGTATGAAAGGAACATGGTGGAGATGGAACCTAGCCCGGACCTTGCCCGTCATCATGTCGATACTGGTGGTGACGTCGACATCGGCATCAATGGGACGATGTCGGATAATACGATGTCGGATAATGCGATGTCGGATAAAACGATGTCGGATATTACGATGTCAGATACTACGAGATCGTCGGAGTATTGCATGACGACGATTATTCCAAATGGAAAGGCATGATGTACCCGCCCCTCTTCATAAAAAACATTTGTGGATTCCACAATAACACTCGCAGACAACGACAAAGTTTAATTAACAATCTTTTAAAAGAGTTTTGAGCAGTTTCAGTATCTCTCATATTATTAAATACATTGACAGAGGAAGGGCCCTTGGAACTCTATTTAATCTGGTTTGAGATATTAATGGGGGGATTTGACATTGGTGGGGAGGGAGGGGGGGGGGGAGAGGGGAAAATTATATTTTGAAATAAGTTTAGGAGGTGTAATATTTTTTTCATCTTCAGGGAACAATACCTGAAAATAGTTTATACATTTATGATACATGAAAATGAAAACGTTCTGTCTCCCAAACTTATCAAAATATTTTGTCCATGATGACTCAAAAACTATTTGATGGAGTTGGGCTCTGCTTCCTTTTATGTATTCGATTGCATTTGTCCGAAAAGGTTCCTGAAGTTTTCAAAAACGTTGGCCTTTCTTTGCCCCCTAAAAATGATCTGGTCTTATTCATCTTGGTATGTTTTATTGCGCGTTAAATTAGCAACTTCTTTTGGACGTGCATGTGATGTTTTTAAGCAACCCACATCTCCGCTGAAAATGACAATTATTTTTCTTCTCTCAATTAACACGCTTACAAATAGTGGAAAGCTTCAAGAAAAATACATGTGGCTACAGAAATGCATACCTCTTAGTTACGATTATTTTGCATACGCACTCAGCTGGAGAAGAAAAAAATCAAACACATAATGCACCTTTAAAAATAGTTCCACTTGCAATTTGTTTTCTTGGTATTCTGGCCAAGTAACACCTAGTATTCATGTTGCGTTTAAAAGCGATTAATTAAGAAAGTAGAAACTAATTTATTGTACTCCTAGGTGGCGCTATAGCGTTTACGGCTTCAGATCCATTTCTTTCCACAGTTTTTTCGTGCGTTAGTCTAGCAACGGCTTTTGGACATGCAATTGACGTTTTTAAGCACGCATCATCTCCACTGAAAATAACAATTATTTTCTTCTCGCAATTAAAACGCTTACACAGTGGAAAGCTTCAAGAAAAATGAATGTCATTATTTGTGGCAACAGAAATACATATTTTTATGTTCCGCTTGTTTCGCATACGCACTATAAGCTCATTAAAAAAGTAGTAGGCCTATATACCACTTGCCTTTTGTTTTCTTGGTATTCTTGCAAAATAAAAAAAAAATTAATATTCACGTTGCGTTTGAAAGCAGATTAAGGACGTAGAAAGTACTTTGTATAAGTACTCCTATAGACGGCGCTATATCGTCTATGGCTACGAAGCCATCTTTCCACAGTATTTGACCAACTTGGATTTAGTTGGTCACAGCATGGCACAATTCGTTTAGTTTCGTGCTTGTCCAACATAGCAGTAATCTCCATATTGTGATTTTGCCCAACTCGAATCGGGTCGGCCAAACTCTTCATGGTTTTTGTTTCTGTTATTGGCTGTATAGCTATACAAGCTCGTTCGTAGAAGTGAATATTTCGGAGTTCTCTCATGTTGATACTATAGAACAATCTCGATGTACATAGACAACCAGTAAATCATTAATGACGGGTAACATCATGGGTAGATGAAAGTGATGTGGTTTTTATCACGTGGCAACCTCTATATTGACTAAAGATGGTATCTTAATTGTAACTACACTTCTCTCTATTTTTTCAATTAATTATTGTGCTGCTGGATTAGAAAAGGCGTTTCTTCCTTTTTTAAATTTGTTTTTATAGGAAGGTTACTGTCCCATACCACTACTTCTCCACTCAACCCCCTACGGCTATATATATCGCCAGACTATGCTGATTCTCGTTGATAGAATCATTAGGCCAAACAAAGTGAATTCTTAATCTCTCGTCCCCCTCCTCCTTCCTTGTTTGGCCCACCTCAAAAGTTGTTGTCATTTTATAATTTTTGTTCTTAAATGATAAATTGAATTGAATATGAATATATTTAGACAGCCAGATGACAGAAATCAGTAATGTAATGCATTCTCACCCTTTTGTGAGCTCCTGGATAAATAAAATACATTTATTTCCATTTTGTTTTACAATTGCCCAAGAAGTATTTTTCATGTACAAGAAAAATATAAAGTAACATCGAACCCCCATCTCCAAATTGTCGAGATAAAAATAAACCCGAACGAGAAACTGGGAATTAATTTTCGATGGCCTTATAAGTATAGTTGAATAGCTAACAGAATTTCTCAATATCCATGGAACTGCCTCGGGTCCACCCCCCCCCCCCCCACCATACGCCGTTTATTCTGCTATATATCTAGGCACTCACATGGTTTTACGTCGTCTGACTTTCAGAATATCAGGTTGTGGAAGATTGCCAATTTAAGAAATGTTTATCAATTCAGGTCAATGAACATCAAAATTAAACGACCGTTCTATCTCATACACAATTTTACTCGCCTTTTATTGTAATTGCATCAATTGTTATTTTAGTCATTGCCATAACGTGGCCTATTGTACGAGACACCATAATATTTTCCTTTTTTTATGTGTTCATTTTCAACATTAAACCAATGCCATGAAATGTGCCGCTATAGTGATGCAGGAGCGTAGACCTATTACGTGGGAGTGTCGTGGTCGAGTGGTTTAAGGCGCTTGACTGGAGATGCGAAGGTCGAGGGTTTGAATCTCGACACGGCACTAATATCCTTTGGCAAGATATTAACCTGCACTTGCTACTCTCCACCCAGGTGTTAAATGGGTACCCGGTAGGATGCGACCGTTATTGTTGGTCAAACAGCTTGTGAGCGTCAAGTAACGCCCGGCTGGAATGCTCCCCAGGGAGTGGAGATTGTGCACACAGTGTGTGCGGGCAAGCACTGAATCCAATGACCGGGGTAATAATATATATTTGTAAAGCCCTTAGAGACATTTGTATTAAGCGCTATATAAAAATTAAATATTATTATTATTATTATTATAATCATCTGCAAAATGGGGGAGATGGGGGCGTTGTTGATGTCGGAAGCATACTGTGAATAGGGATCAAAAATGTTACTCTCGTAATACGGGGAACGCGGTCGATAAATTCACATTCATGCTGTGTTTTCAGAGATAGGTACAAATGTTTAATAGGCAATCATCCCAGAAAGCTTTTCATGATAATTGTGAAATCACTTTTGCTTCTTTCCACATAATTTTGGTATCAGGTATATAAGTATTTTGAAATCGTGAATTTGCCTTATCGTTTTAACGTAACATTACCAGTATTTATTACATATACTATTTGATTTAAAGTTATTAAATTGTGTGTCACTAATTGTGTAAGAATGCAAGCGAATATTAAGTCTTTGGTTTTAAAATATCGATATTTACATTTTGATTTTACGTTTGTGTTTAATGTATTACATTGCTTGGTTTTATTGTTAATAGTTGAAAGCAAAAATTAATTATTTTACTGTGAAGCATGCAAAGAGAAATTACTACGAGAGACTGGCACTTGATACAAAATGTCTGCAATGTTCTTTGTACGTATGTGTATGATAGTAAAACAGAGATATTTGAAAAGAGACGGAGGAATCTTTTGGTAAAAAAAAGACAAAAGTAGAATTATTGATGTTAAAGAGAAAGAGCGGATCCCCCCTCCCTCCATGCAAAAAAGGTAAAAACAAACAATTCCTCTTGTAGTGGTTTGCATAAAGGCGTTAGCAGGGGCATAACTTCGTTATATAGTATACGCTGTGCCCTATTAGCCGAAGCATGTAACAGAGATGGAGAGAAAGAGAGAGAGAGAGAGAGAGAGATAGAGAGAAAGAGAGAAAGAGAGAGAGAGAGAAAGAGAGAGAGAAAGAGAGAAAGAGAGAGAGAGAGAGAGAGAGAGAGAGAAAGAGAGAGAGAGAGAGTTGGGGGTTTATTGTATGCTAAAAACAGAGATGCAGAGAGAGGAGGAAGAGGGGGAGGGATAATTAGAGACAAAAAAAGAAAGAGAGAATTGATGGGAAAATAGAGAGAGGGGGAGCTCGGACTCGGGATAGAGAGAGAGGGAAGAGAGACTAACAAGAGAGAGAGAGAGAGAGAGAGAGAGAGAGACACGGAGAGCGAGGAGATTAGGGGGTAATTATACAATAGAGTGGGAGGGGCGTGAAACAGGGATAAAAATTAAAACAATGATATCTAGTTAATCAACAGTATTATCACACTTAATTACGTAAGCCTTAATTCACAGGTGTATTATATCCCATGCTACTGCTTTATAGCGTGTCAGGTATTAAGATTACATTACACTAAATATAAATAAAGGTACTTTGGGCATTACGACGTTAATAATAATAATAATAATAAAAACGTTACTTATAAAGCGCTTACCACCGAAGTCTCTAAGCGCTATACACACAAAATAGACTGATATACAATTACATCTTAAACAAAATTAAAAATGTAAATAAACATACAAATTACAATACATATGAAATACACGTCAAAGTGAACAGAGTTAATTAATCATCGAACGCAATTTTGAATAAATGTGTCTCGAGACTAGCTTTGAACAGGTTAAGGGTTCGACAGCTTTTTACATTTAAAGGTAATCTGTTCCAAAGTTCAGCAGAAGCTTTGCGAAAGGAGCGATTACCATAAGAAAGAGTTGACACAGAAGTAGATACGAGGTTTAATTGTGAAGATAACCGTAAACTGCGTGAGGGTTTGTATTCCTCGATTAATTCTTGCAGATAAATTGTTCCAATTCATAAATGCATTTATAAGTTAAAACTAAGATTTTGTACATAATGCGGTACGTCACCGGCAACCAATGCAATTCGCGAAGTACTGGGGTGATGTGTTCACAAGAACGCGTGCGTGTTACAAGCCTGGCAGCAGAGTTTTGGATTCTCTGGAGTTTTGCAATGTGCGAGTCCGGAGGGCCATAAAGAAGGCTATTGCATTGATCAAGACGGCATGTAATAAATGCATGTATAAGCGTTTCGGTAGATTTATGATCAAGAAAATTTCTATTTGCATTTTGTATTTACTAATTCCATTTGAATTGCATTCCT